TTTGACTAAACATTCACTAAAACGGTTATACCACATTCGTCCAGATTGCTTGAGTCTATACAAAGATCTTTGCAACTTAATGGAGTACATTTCTCTAGGATTTGATTTACATGCTTCAGGCATGCTAAATCCTTCAGGGATTTTCATATAGATTTTATTATCTAATGTTCCATATAAATAAGCAGTGACTACGTCCATCAGACGCATATCAAGTTTTTCATGTACTGCTAAACTCACAAGATATCTAAAAATAATTTCATCCATTACTGGAGAATATGTCTCATTATAATCAAATCTCGGTCTTTGTGAAAATCCTTGGGCGACAAGTCTTGCTTTATATCTCACAATTTTATTTTTCTTATTTCTTTTCCTCACAAATACCCATTTATATCCTACTGGCTTTACACCTTTAGGTGTTTGGACTACAGATCCAAAAACTTTTCGTTTAGATAGTGAATCTAATTCAGATTGGATCGCGTCTTTCCATTTTGACCAATTATTTCTTTGCCGATATTCATCAACTGATCTAGGTTCATGATCCTCGTCTTCTTCCATAATATCAAGTGCTACCTTATATGCAAATACATTATCAACAATTACTTCTCTTTGGTTCCAACTCTTTCTCGTAATGACAAAATTTATTGAATTTTCTATAGTTTTATTCTCTTTAGGAGTTGGCTCTTCAGGAGCGACCTCTTCTGGAGGTTGAAGTTTATCATTAGCAATATTTTGATCATTCAATCCTCTTTTCTTTTGTGGATTCTTATCTTTGGAACCAAGAGGTCTACCACGCTTTAGGCGTGCTTTAGATTCATTAGCACTTTTAATTTGTCCTTCTGGGATATCAATTTTAATCGGAGCATTTTCTGCTGGAATATGCGATTTTGTAATTCTTCTAGAATCACTAAAAGCATCCGGTAATTGGTTTGCTTGCAATTTTTTGTAAATGTATAATCCTTTGAACTTCCAGTTTACATTCTTTTGTACGAGGATCAAGAAAGTCTAATGATATTTTCTAAGTAATTTTCCTTTTTGGTTGATCTTTACCTTCCTCTAATGTCGGGAAATGTGATTCAACAAAATAACAATCTACAAATCTTACAGTAAATAAGTCACCTGTTAATGGTTCAACATATTTAATTATAGAAGGTGATTCATACCCGACATATATCCCCAATCTTCTTTGAGGGCCCATTTTAGTATGTTGAGGTGGTGCAATAGGAACATATACAACACAACAAAAAATTCTTAAATAAGAATATTGTGCTCGTGGCCAAGAACTAATTTTAAGAGAGAATAAGTATGATAACTTGTCGGCCTAATTCTCACAAGCATTGCTGCATGTAATATAGCATGTCTCCAAGCAGATAGAGGAAGTTTAGACCTCATTAACAATGGTCTTGCAATTAATTGAAGCTGTTTAATAAATGATTCGGCTAGACCATTTTGTGTATGAACATGAGCTACAGGATGTTCAACACTTATTCCAATAGATATGTAATAATCATCAAAAGCATGTGATGAATATTCACCAATGTTATCTAAACGAATTTTCTTAATGGGATAATCAATAAATTGTGCTCGCAATTTAATTATCTGAGCAAGCAATCTCGTAATTGCCAAGTTACGACTAGATAATAAACATACATGTGACCATCTTATTGATGCATCAATTAACACCATAAAATATCTAAATGGTCCACATGGTGGATCTACAGGCCCACACATATCACCATGAATTCGTTCTAGAAATACAGGGAATTCAGTTCCCACTTTCGGTGGTGATGATCTAACAATTAACTTCCCTTGGGAGCAAGCAACACATGAGAATTCATTAGAATTTAGTATTTTTTGATTTTTCAATGAATGACCATGTGAATTTGTAATTATTCGCCTCATCATTATAGAATCAGGATGTCCAAGGAAATCATACCAAATCATAAATCATTGGTATTAGTAGACTTCTGGTCTATAAGATGATAAATTTCAGCTGCACTTATTTTGTATAATATAAACCAGAAGATAGAGAAGACAGCTTTTCTAATACACATTTTTTTTCAGAAATGGTATTTGTAATCAATAAGTATTCACCATTTGTCTCATTTATTGTCTTGATATGATATCCATTTCGGCGGATATCTTTAAAACTTAGCAAATTTCTTCAAGATTTTATCGAGAGTAATACATTATTAATGATAATTTTAGTTCCTTCGGGGAGAAATACAGTGGCTCTTCCGGAGCCATCAATCAATTTAGCACTATCACTTATTGTGTTAACATTTGTTTCTTCCATTTTCAAATGAGAAAAATACTTCATGTTTAAGTATAGTGTGTGTAGTAGCATTATCAATGAGACAAATATTATCATCATCATTGTTTGATCCTAAATATTTGACATCCATTTCTTCTTTAGGAAGAAATGACAAAGAAAATTACAAACAAAAGTAAATATCAATAAAGTCCATAAACTATAAATTTCATAAAGAAAATTACATAAAAGATGTAAAAATAACAAAATTCAAAATGTCGGGTATTTGTTATGAGATCATTTCGCAACTTCAGGTTGCTCAAGGACATCAGCTACATCGAGGTGTGTGATATCATCAAGATCATCATAACCATTGTTTTGATCAATGAAATTTGTCTCGGTATTTTTACATTTTTTCTTTTAATGATGCCTGATAGAGGTCAACAAGATGTTTTACCGTACGACAGGTACAGGACCAATGGCCTTTTATTCCACACCGGTAGCATATTTCCTCATAATGTTTCTTTTCTTCACTTTTCTTATCATTATTGTCCCACTTTTGAGAGTTGTTTTGTCTTTTGTCACGGTTATGATCATTGTGATTATAAGGCACATATCTGCCACAACCTCGTCCACGATAACGGCTACGTCCTCGGCCTCCTCCACGGCCATGTCCATGCCCACGACCATGATTTTGAGATTGAGTTGCATTCGCTTTAGGGAATGAGCTAGCATCAGTAGGTCGGGATTCATGATTTTTTAATAATAATTCCTTATTTTGTTTAGCCAAAAGGAGGCATGAAATCAATTCAGAGTATTTCTTAAATCCTCTCTTTCGATATTGCTGCTGCAAGAGCATATTCGAGGCATGAAAGGTAGATAATGTTTTTTTCTAACATATCGTCATTAGTGACATTTTCTCCACACAATTGCAATTGAGAGATAATTTTATACATTGCAGAGTTATACTCACTGATTGATTTAAAATCTTGTATCCCTAAGTGAAATCAGTCATACCAGGCTTTTAGGAGCACGACCAACTTCAGGTGGTCCAATCTCTCCTTCAAATTATTCCACATAGTAAGTGGAACTTTCACAGTTAGATATTCAATTTTTAATCCTTCATCCAAATGACGACGAAGGAAAATCATAGCTTTGGCACAATCTTGATTTGATGTCTCATTTTCTTCCATAATAGTATTCTCAAGACCCATTGCAACAAGATGTATTTCAACATCTAACATCCAAGATAAGTAGTTCTTTCCAGAAATATCAAGAGGCATAAATTCTTATTTTGTAAGGTTAGCCATAGTGAAAAATGAATTGAATTGGAAAGAGAAATTTTACCTCAAAGGTTTACACAAAATATGAACATGTGCCAAACGATGAATCTAATGGACTTGAAATTGATTGTTTCAATGGTAGAGTCTCGTGCTGATAACATGTTGTAAAACTAATAAAGTATAGTAGAGAAAGTAGACAAGAAATAGAAAGAATTTTATTTCCTCAATTTCTCATTGCAAAGTGATGTAGGAATACCTGTATTTATATACAAACTAAGATGATGATACATGAATCATATTAATTACTCATAGAGAATATCAAAGGGTAATACATGTATCAATCTCTTTGGGAAACTAAATGGACATCCACATCATTTAATTGTTTCATTACAAAAACTGGCTATTTTTGTAGGCAATCATTTAATTGTGAAGAAAATAGACTAAATATCAATTAAATAGCTTAAGTTTCACTCACTTTGCACTGTATATCTTACTTATTTTTGTAGTATGTATATACCTTAAGTTTCACCCGAATATTGTCAAATGACTCTTACACGCTAATTTTTGAATATTTGAGAGATTATCATTTATTAATTTTACAATAAACTCATCCTAGTAACTTTTTAAACCAATAATTGAGATACATTTCAAATGGAAGTTAATAGGTTTAACAGTACATCTAAAAAAATATAAATGTTAAAAAGTTTTAAAATTAGCATGTTAGTGCCATTTGAGGATATTTAAGTGAAAATTCTCATGTTGCATAAATAGATGGTAATTATGTACCAATCCTAAACAACTTAGGGGCGTATAAAAACAAGTGAGATATATAAGTACAAAGTGAGTGAAATTAGCTAAATAAAATAAAAAGTAGTTTGAAACGGCAAAGAGAATTGCTATATTTAGTGATTTTTATAGATAAACCTATAAATTTATATATGCTGAGTATATTTAAATGACACTATTTTCTCGCAAATATCATCCAAGCAAAGTTTATCTTTTCAAAGTTTCTTTATTTAAAAATGATTATTTTTTCTTAAAAACATGAATAACATTGCCAGAGAAGTTAGATATGTGACAAAAAGTTACATATTTGACAAGAAATTAGTTATAAAATACGTTATTATTCGAATCTAAATACTATAAATTATGAGATATGAATCATCAATAATATCCCGGGCTTAGATTTTTTAATGCATCATACCCGCCCTGTCCTAAAACGAATCCTATAATTGTAGTGGGATCCGACACAAATCCGACCCGTAACTTGCATGGTTCTATTTGGATAAGTACCTGCTGAAAATTTTAAGACAGGTGCTTAAACTTTCCATAATTATAAAGCTTTCCATTTTGGCGGTAAAATGCAAAAATAGAATTACATTATTTCAGTAGCCGAGTGAAATCTGCAAATAAGGTTTTTCTCATAGGTTTAATAGGTTTTCTCATAAATCGAAAATATTCAACCCAAAATTTCCTCTTTTGGTTTTCTCTCGCAATCAATCCAAAACCCTAGATGCCCGATTTAGGGCAAAAGGATGCTGGCTAAACCCCTAATTCCCCAGGTTCGCCTCCAATTTATCTCTTTAGAGTTAGGTTTAGGTTTATAGTCGTTGAATTTTCATCTTCTGTTTGGGGATTTTTGGAGATTATGTTTCCAATTTGTTTCCTTTTTCTTGATTAAGTCGAATTCTGTAGGAAATTCGTCCAATTACGTTAGATTCATAATTTTTTTATTCTTGTTCTATTGTACAGTTGCCAGATCGAGAAGAAGGAACAATGGATTCCAATTCGGGATCTTTGATGAATGAGGGACAAATTGCCTTGCGTTTATGGGATATGGATCCTAATACTTCAATAGTTCGTGGAATCATACGAGGAAAGATGTGAGTTTTTCTAAAAACCTGAAATTGTTGTCTAATTGCTCATGATTTTATCTGTGATAATACTCTTTTATGAATTTTAGAGCATAATTTGGGAAGTATTTGGCTTGGACTATTTCTACACCTTACACCCGTGCTTCATTAACA